TTACACAGAATCTATAGATTGCTTTGGTAGCCTGGACATTTTAACAATATTTATTCTTCCAATCCATGATCATGGAATATCTTTCCATTTGTTTGTGTCGTCTTCAGTTTTTTTTTTTAATCAGTGTTTTATCACTTTCAGAGTATGGGTCTTTTACCTCCTTGGTTATCTCTAAGGATTTTATTCTTTTGGGGGGCATGTCCTTTTTTGAGTTTTATACTACATGTACACATGTTCAAAAATGAAATAATTTAAAAATAAGGTGAATATTTTCACTATGAAGAATACAAAAAAATTTTAAGTCATAACTTAAATACTTGATGATATTATTGAGATTTTTCTTAATTTAACAATTGTGAACATTTCCCTGTGTCTTTTAAAAATATTCACAAACGTGGGGCACCCGGGTGGCCTAGTTGGTTAAGCGTCTTGACTTTTTTTTTTTTAAGATTCTATTTATTTATTTGACACAGAGAGAGAGATCACAAGTAGGCAGAGCAGCAGGCAGAGAGGGCAGGGGAAGCAGGCTCCCCGCTGAGCAGAGAGCCCCATGCGTGGCTTGATCCCAGAACCCTGGGATCATGACCTGATCAGAAGGCACAGGCTTAACCCACTGAGCCACCCAGACACCCAAAGCATCTGACTCTTGATTTTGGCTTAGGTCATGATCTCTCAGGATTGAACCCCAAGTCAGGCTCCACACTCAGCAATGGGGAGCCTGCTTAAGATTCTCTCCCTCTCTGGGGCACCTGGGTGGCTCAGTGGGTTAAAGCCTCTGCTTTCAGTTCAGGTCATGATCCCGGGGTCCTGGGATCAAGTCCCGCATCGGGCTCTCTGCTTCGGCAGGGAGCCTGCTTCCTCCTCTCTCTCTGCCTGCCTCTCTCCTACTTGTGATCTCTGTCAAATAAATAAATAAATAAATCTTTAAAAAAAAAAAAAAAGATCATCTCCCTAAGCCCCTCCCCCTGCCTGTGTTCTCTCTCTCTCTATCTCAAAATAAATTCACAAACATTTTAATGCTACTTATTTGGCTATAAATTGGTGAAATATGTTTATATTTCTCTGTTTTCCATAGAAGCTCATTTCGGTGTCTTAGTTTTGGACTATTATAAATAATGCCATAATGGATATCTTTATACATTAATTTCATGCACAACTTGGACTCTTGTCTTAGAATCAGTTATTATGAGGGACTCCTGGGTGGCTCAGTCAGGTAAGTGTCTGCCTTTGGCTCAGGTCACAATCCCAGGGTCCTGGGATCAAGCCCTGCATTGGGCTCCTTGCTCAGGAGGGAACCCGCTTTTCCCTCTGCCTCTGCTGCTCCCCCTGCTTGTGCTCTCATGCGCTCTCGCTCTCTCCCTCTTTCTCAAATAAATAAAATCTTAAAAAGAAGTCTGTTATTATGAGCTTAGTTGCTCAAGGATATGAAAAAAGTTGAGGTTTCTTGATGCTTCTGAGCAAATCACTCCCCAGAGAGGCTCTGGCAAGTTTATACTATCATTAGCAGTCTGATAATGACCATTTTCTGATGCAGTTTCCAACTCTAAGGATTTATTTCCCCGTTGCTGTTGACTTTAAAGAGCAGAGAGCAAGAATTCAAATGTTGAAGAAAAGTGAAATTGTGTGCTTGTGCTGTGGCTCAGAGGGCTCCCCTGACTATAGCCTAAAATCGCTTTGGAATCCGTCTTCCCCAAGAGGGTGAGGATGGAGAATGTTGGCCGCATTGGTGTTTTCCTTGGGCTTTGCGCTTGGCACACTTCCCTCTCTGAGCCAAGAGGCTCAGCTCCCTGCACAAGGTAGCCTGTAGGCTACCTAGGAAAGGGCAGGAGCCAAAGCCCCAGGTTGTCTATTCCAGCCGGAAGCTGGCCTTTTAGATGAAGCCTGTGACTCCATCCCGCAGTGGCAGATCCTAGAGAGAGCAGACGAGAACATCACAGCAGTCTACGGGGGGCAGAGTCCTTTCCCAGCAGTCCTAACAAGTCCCTTTATTGGCCGCACAGAGAGGGAGAGAGAGATGGAGGGTAGATAGATAGGTAGACAGACAGAAATTTGAGAAATATTTATTTTTATGTATGTATGTATGTATGTATGTATTTGACAGATCACAAGTAGGCCAAAGGCAGGCAGAGAGAGGGGGGAAGCAGGCACCCCGCCAAGCAGAGAGCCCGATGTGGGGCTCGATTCCAGGACCCTGGGATCATGACCTGAGCTTAAGGCAGAGGCTTTAACCTACTGAGCCACCCAGGCGCCCGAGAAATACTTACTGATCACATAGTCTTCGCCAGGCACTGTCTTGCGCTCTGAGCGTGTTGGCTCAGCTGCCCTGAAGAAGCCTTTTGGTCTGCCTGGTGAAATCCCTGTTCTCATAGAAGCAATACTCTAATTGGAAAAGAACTAAAGAGACAGGGCTTGGGGAAATGGTGTAGCCTGCCCGAGGGTCTGTCCCCTGCCCTCGGCCGCCTGGGCCTAAGAGCCCGAGGGGTCCACCCAGGACCTTCCAGAGTCATGGTTATAAACTCACCTCACTGACTGCGAGCGGTCTTATGGCAGTTTAAATGAGGACCAGAAAGCGTAGAATGACTTGGTCACTTTTCTCTTTATTATTGCTGTTCGAATCGTCAGAAATGTTATTGTTACTCCTGTTACTGCAGCAGGCCAGTCCCCTGTTGGGAGGCTCTGAGCCATTTCCCAAGAGGGAGAGTGCAGAAGTAAAACTTCTGTGACCTGCGGAAGGAACCCCTTCTGGGACTTCGGGAGAGTTTGGTTTTTGCTGTGTTGTTGTTTGCTGAGAAGACAAAGCACTAGGGCAACGTCTCTCCAGGCAGCCCGGAAAGGTAGTCTGAGCACGCCCTCTGCTGGAGCGTGGGGGGATTGCCTTGGGCTCTGGCCCTGCCTTTATTTTGCAGATGGGGGTAACAGGCCCAGGGAGGCGCAGGGCATTCTTGGAATGCCCCAGATGTATTCTTAGTTGTCTTTTCTGAGCTAGGTGTTGTGGGGAGATGTGAGGCCAGCCCTCCACACTGGCAACCCAACCTTTCTCCCCCCCCCCCACCTTACTGAGCCCCACCCCACCCCAGGCACCTCTGCCAACGTCAGTCACCTAACACCTAATACAAAAGCGTCACACAGTAACTTGGGCTGAAAAGAACAAAGATAGTCTTAGAAGTAAAAGTTCCCCTTAGTTACAAAAAAACCACACTTGATAAGGTTTCTTTCCTTGTATCTGCTCTTTTCCACAGAACCTAGCTTCTGTCCTAGGTGTTGTTTTGCAATTAATGGTTTATCTCAGAAACCTTGCTGTGTCAATATACCTGTGTGATCTGACTGCCTTCAGAAAATCAGTTTCTTAAATGTTCATGTCCCCCAGCAGATGGACATTTGTTTACGTAATAGCAATATTGACCGTTGGCAAGGGCGCAGATCAACAGACACTCTTACATGCTGCAAGTGGGAATATAAATGGGAATAGTACAGAATTTAAAAAGGTTTTTATCCCCTTCGTTTTTTGTCGTCATAATACCTACGCTAATTCACGAAGGCAACTTGGAAATGTGTCTAAACGGTGAGGCTTAAAAATCATCCCATCCTTCTCTTTAGCGTAGCAATTCTACTTCTAGAGGGTTACTTTGATAACTAGAGCGAGGCACAGACTTACATGAAGACCTCGTCCTGTCTGTGATGGTAGAAAATTGGAAATATCTCCATGTTCATTTCTAGGAGACTGATCAAATCGTGGCACATCCAAGTATATGTGTACAAAACTCATCTAGAGGGAACCTTAATGACATGTTCTAGAGTTCTACAAAGCAGGCTATAAAATACAATGGGTAGTACGATTCCCCCAGTGTTTTCAAATATATATATGGCTCTTCTTCATATGTGTGGTTCTTTTTGGTCTCTAGGCTATATTATCTACCAGCAGAGCTCTTAATCATCTCCGTAGTAGTAACTTCTAATTTCGTTTTTCTTCCCCATACCCTCCCCCATCTCTGAGTTCCAGCCCCTTCCCTCCATGTACCTTCTTAGCATTTCCCCTCACAGGGCTCACAGGCATCTCCAAGTCGGGGTGGTCAAGTAGAACTCTTAATCTTCCCCGCCTGTCAGGCCCCAAGTATGCCTCCTCTGCTGTCCGTCTCAGGCAGCCACACATCCACTCAGTCGGGTCAGAAAGCTCACTTCCCCACCAGTCAGATACCAGGTCCTGTTGATCTAACCTCCAAGTCACATCTAGAATCTGCACCACCGCCTCCTTCCTCTGCTGACTGTCGTCTCACACCTCACCTGCAGGAGCCCACAGCTTGCCCCCTTCTGGGCCCTGCTCAGCCCAGATGCCAAAGTCTTCCTTGACCACGCAGCTCTGATCTTTTGGGACCTGCAGCCAGTTGCAGATGGGACCCGGGCCCTGCCAGCTCAGCAGCACCCTAGGCGTCCCTGCCCCTCGCCCAGCACACTCCAACCTGGAGCTCTTCTGGGTCTCGCATCTCCCCCTACCCTTCCCTTCGCACGCTCTTCCCCTCCACTCATCTAGATAACACCTGTTCTTCCTTGGAGCTCACCTAAAATGTTGCTTCCTGATCCCCAGCCTTGGTCAGACCCTGGTAAGTCACTCCAGCACCCTGCCTTCTCCCTGGAAGCCCTGAGCCCCCTCGTAGTTCCGCGGGTGACTTAGGCAATTCGCTACGGCCGCCAGCTGGCTGGCGGCTCCATGGGGGCAGAGACTGTGACGGGCTTGTTCATGGCCACATCTCACCAATGCTAGACCCGCGTCAGTAACTTTAGAGGAAAGACAAAGGCTGTTCTTTAAACTGCTGTTAGTGGTTTCCTGGGTGTGAAATTATGGGTGATTTATTTTGTTCTTCATATTTTTCTTGGCTGTTCTGTCTTCAGTGATTGAGGCAAAAACTGTCATTTTTTCAAAAGGTGTCTGTGCTGGGCCCAGAGCGGAGTCTTCCCTGCGGGCTGCACCTGGCCTCACGGGTCCTCCTGCCCCTGTCCCACAGGTCTGAGGAGCGATGCGACAGGCATGATGGAGGTTGAGTCCTCCTACTCGGACTTCATTTCCTGTGACCGGACAGGTCGTCGGAACGCAGTCCCTGACATCCAGGGGGACTCTGAGGCTGTGAGCGTGAGGAAGCTGGCTGGAGACATGGGCGAGCTGACACTCGAAGGAGCAGGTCAGAACGCATGGGTCTTCATTCTTCTGGGCTCCGGGGCCGCCCGCCAAGTCCTAGACTGCCCACATTAAGTCAGGCCCCAGTCTCAGGGTCAGTGGCCAAGGGGCCAACCAGTTTCTAGGCTGGAGGGCCCTAGTGTCTCAGGCCCTAGGACTCTTCGGCCAGGCGTCCAGCCTCCTCCCTTTTCCTCATCGCCCTCTCCATGCACAGGTCCTATCCATTCTCTTCCCAGACATGTGCCAGGGCCATCTACTTCCCTCCATCCCCACCAGCCAGCCTGTGGCCAGCAGGACTCAAACTGTCCCATTCCATCATGTCTCTGTGGCAAGGCCCCTGTCACACTGACAGTGAAGCACCCTACTGTGTGACCAGGCCCTGCCCTCCCTCTTGGATCTCAGCAGGGGCCCCTTTGCCCTCACCTTCTGTCCTCCAGCCATACCCACCATGGATCTCTTTCTGTCAAGGCACAAGCCTGTCCTGTTCAGAGCCTCCTGGGTCATGGTCTCCTCTGCTAGAACCTTCCCACCCAGTCCTATGGCTGAATTCCTACCAGGTGCTCAGAGGGGCCCGCCCTGACAGTGAAGGTTTCGTGTGTTGGAATGTGAGCTCCAGGAGAGCAGGTGCTTGGAAACCACGGGCTGCAGGAGTGAGTTGAAGGGGGAAATAGCAGCCACCAAGCCCCCATCGTGCCCCCTCCTTCCCTTCCTGTCCTAGTGGACTCCTCTGCTCCGTCCACCGGTCAGCCCTGGGGCCTTGCTCTGGGCGGCCTTCCCTCACCCTCGTGCACTGGGTAGAGCCCTCTCCTCCCTGTCCCCATAATTCCTCAGAGGCAAGGTCTGTGTCACATCACCTCCCACAGCTGACTGCAACTCTAGGGCTCCATGGGTCTCCCACAGAGCCGTCCTGGAGAGCCACCATCGTCCCCCCCGCCCCCACCTTATAGTCTCCAGCCTAGAGCGCGTTGGCCAGAAGTGACCCCTGAGTCCAAAACAGACTGTGGGGACATGGACTCAACCCGCTCCTGTTCTAGACAGACCGACAGGCCCAAGAAGCTGGGTGGGTCGCTCAGGGTCACCTGCAAGTGAACACAGAACGGCACCCTGCGCAAGGAAGACACCGCACACCCTGCCCTGCTCCGGGGGTCTGTCCGCCCTCCCTGTCCTGTGGCCCAACCTCCTGCCAGCTCGCTCAGCCCGCTGCCGCTGACCCGGCCAGAGGAAAGCACATCTGCTTCTCAGTGGCCCCTGACGGACCTTAACACGCTGCTCCCTGGGGCTGGTTCTTCCTGCCTTCCCCTCGCTCCTCAGAGACCCAGACCCTGACCACCTGCCCCTCTCCTCCCAGCCACCTCCACAGCCCCACTTTGCACAGCACCCCTCTGGGCTGGGGGCTTCTCCCCCTGGATCTTTGTCTTGTGCCCTGGGACATGGCCCTTGGTAGCAGGGACGGGTTGCCTAGTCCAGGGCTGCTCACGGCCCAGCGCGCCTGCCCCCACCACAGGCTGTGCTGCCACAGGGCTTGCTCTGAGCTTCTGCAGCCTTCTCCTCGACTCTGGGAACCTGTTCCATCCCCCTCTGCCTCAGCAGTGGTAGCCACTCCGTGGACCCTGGCCCTTCAAATACCTGTTTCCTCTAATTTGGAATCCCTGAAGTGTCTGGGTCCTCTGGGTCTAGGACACTAGCCTGCCAGCGTGACCTTTAAAAAGGGGACCTGAGGAAGGAACAGTCGTCACTGCAAGGAGGTGAAGCACTCATGCTACAGTTGTAGGCCGGCCAGGCCAGGGAACCTTCCAGTGGGCCCTGCAATGAGTGGCTTCCACAGGCAGGCCTGGCAGCTGTGCTCAGTCCCCCAGGCTCCCTGAGGGAGTGGGTCTACAGAGATTCGGACCATCAGGCCTGGCTGAGAATCTGATTGCTTAAAACAGCCCAGGAGATGGAGACCTGGCCCTATGGATGGGGAGGCCGGGCCATGGCCTATCCTGAAGGACAGGGGCCAAGTCTGGTGCTTGTTAACGCTCCCTTAGCTTATCCTACCTTTCCTGATCCCTCCGCATGTGGAGAGCACAAACATTTCCTTACTTTGCCTAATAATGAAAAGAAAGGAGTACCCTTCCCAGCAGTACAGTGACCACAAAACATTTCAAGTGTGTCCTGAAACTGGCCCCAAGGGGGTCCCAAGGGTAGTGGTTGGTAAAGTAAGTGTTCAAGAACCTTCTCCCTGGGGCACCTGGGTGGCTCAGTCAGTTAACTGTCGGACTCTTGATTTCAGCTTAGGTCATGACCTCAAGATCATGAGATCAGCCTCACCTCAGGCTCCACACTGGGCCTGGAGCCTGCTTCAGATTCTGTCCCTCTTCATCTCCTTCCCTGCTCACTCTTGTGCTCATTCTTTTAAGAAAAACAAACACAAAACCAACCTTCTCCCCTGGCCAAGAGAGAGCTGGGACTGGCCGAGAGGAATTGTTACCATGGGCAAAGACCTTCCCACGTGCCAGATGACCACCTGTGGGCCTTGCACTCCCGTCACATACAGGTGGAAGTGTGCAAAGGCTCAGAGAGAGGAAATAAATTGCCTGATAAGAGGAAATAAATGGCCCCACAGCAAGGAAAGGGTAGAGCAGAAATTACTAGGGAATCTGATGAGAATGTTCTGCTTGCCAGGGTCAAATAGAACATCACGAGCTAGAAAATTTGCCCAAAGTGCAGAATAGTTTGTCAGGCTTCTGGAAGTCTAGAAGGACCCTCTGGGCCCAAGCTTCTGCTACAGGTACCACCCCAGGATAGGGGGTCATGGTGGGCCAGGGTGAGGCCCGTCTGGTAAGGACATGGCAGAGTGAAACCGCCATGGGCTCTGCCCCAGCCACACCCTGGTTCTCCCTGGAGCACCTGCTCCCGGCTGGGACTTCATCTTTGCCCTTTCCTCTTGGAGAACCCGCACAAACTTCTCAAACGTCGCTCAGTAGACCTTCACTGGATACTAAGGCTTATAGCCATCATCTGTGGTCCTGGCCTTTCACTGACCTTAATTATACTAGTAGCACCGCATGCAAGTTCTTTGTAAACATTAACATGTTAGAGGCCAGGTTAAAGGTCCCTTTGGCCACTGCCACCCCAATCCAGCTCGTGTCCTGCGCCCCAGGGCTCTCTTATTACCACTTTGGGCCCTTCCAAGTAGGTTTCTGTGCTTTACGTTTGTATGTTCCTTTTCTCTCCTCTCCAGAAGGACAGACAGAGGCGGGCGCCCCAGACAAGGCAGCCAGCAGCCAGCCTGAGAGCAGCGATGGGACCACCTCGTCTTGAGTCTGACCTTGCCCATGGAGGATGGAAAAGAGACCTGCTGTCCTTGCCTGGACTGGGAGCCCTGGCACTGGCCTGGCAGCCTCTTCTCTGAGCCCCGGTCCCAGGCAGGCCAGGGCAGAGTGAAAAGGCACCCCCAGAGGCCACCGTGGCCCCTTCCCTGGGAAGGCCCTCCACCTGCACCCTGAGGCTCCCCTCGCCCACCACCTCCTCACTGTGCCCAGGTACACTTCCAGGACCCCGCAGCTGTGGGGCATTATTTATTCAGTGGGTGCCTGAGCAGCCCCCCCAAGAACGCAACTCCAGAGGTGGCCTGGGCAGCAACCCCAGCCCAGCTCTGCCCCCCCTCCAAGCCCAACCTTCTGGGTCAAGATCTTCATATCCCTTTTTTAAAAAACACTTTTAAACTTTTTAAAAACTTTAAACTTTTTTTCAGCAGAGGGGGCGGGAGCTGTGTTTGGGTTTTTTTTGGAAGGCATTAGAAGTTAACCTGACCGTCTGTGCGGCTCTGCGTCCCCTCATGGAGCTCCACAGATCCATTTCTAGGCAAGGGTTTTGTGCTCAAAACTGTCTGATCAACTCTTTGCCCTTTCTACCGAGATAAGTGACACCTAGGACCCAGGAAATAAATGCTGATGATTTGTGTGACTGGTTTATGATTATTTCTTCTTTAAGCAGCAAAAGCAGGGGTGGGCCTGGTTTCCCCAAGTCCACGGTTAGCTGAGATCTGTCAGTGCCCCGGGCTTCCGTGCAAGGAAGTACCTGAGAAGAGGCTGGTCTTCACAGAGGCTGGTACCCTCCTTGGCTCATCAGTCTTCCACTCTCCCTCTTGCCACCCCAGTCCACAGCTCACCCAGACGGGCAGGCCCAGCCCTTAAAACCTACAGTGGCAGGGCGCAAAGAGGGAGCAGTTAAGCAGATTCACTCTTTAAGAGAAGCCTTGTTTCTTCTGGAGGGAGGGCAGACTGGGGTCCCTTCTTTGCCCCCAGCATTAGAAGCTCCAGTGTCCCCCTCCACCCCTCACCCCAAGCCCGCACCAGGATCTCAGGACCCCGCTGCTGGGCCGGTTGCCTGAGTCTGGGAACCCAGAGGCTCCTTCCATTCTCACTCTGCCCTAGACCATGGCGCTGCATAGTACCAGCCATTGGCTGCTTTATTGAGCACCAGATTTTCAGCACGAGTCACCATAGGAGGAAGGTTTCAGTCAACCAGAGTCTGGCCCGTAGGCAGAGACGCGGCATGCCGAGGTATTGGTGTGTGTAGAAACGGGCACACGGGCTTCAGGAGCAGCCGTAGCTGATCAGGCCAATCTTCCTTGAAGGAGTCAAGGTAAGTGTCGTTCCAGCCCCACAGTGCTGGGGAGGCTCCGTCCACAGGTGAGGGCTTGGAGAGGCGGCCACGATGTCTTCAGGGATGCAGCCCTGCTTGCCAGACACAGAAAGGTTAGCAGCCGCTGGTACCCAGGACTCCAGAGCCAGAGAGGAACCCCCTTCTGCAGAGCGGGAGACTGAGGCTTAGAGCAAGGGAATGCTTTGCCAAAGTCACACCAGAAGGAAGGAGCGGAACAGAGCTAGAACCTGGGCCCAGCTCCCCTTCCCTTGGCTTTAGGCGACCATGGATGTGACCCACGTTGCCAAGATCTTTGGGACTGGGCTTCAGAAAGTCTCCCCCAAGACCAGCCTGAAGATGGCGCTATACAGAAGGTAAACCAGTCTAGTGGGAGGCCATCAGCCTCAGCCCTGGAACCAGGGAGGCTTCACGCATCCTGAGCACCTCCCCAGAGGGGAAGGGAGGGCTTCTTGTAGGAAATCCCACAGAGCCAGGTCAAGAGCCCAGAAGCCCAGCCAGGAACACACCTGCAGTGGCCAAAGACGGCATCCTATAGGCTTTATAGAGCAGATCAAGAAGCTGCTGCTTCTCATCTTCCGGGAGGAAACTGGACTTCGCCGCGTTGATGTTCTAGAAGGGCCAGAATGGCAAATAATGTGAAACCAGAGAGCATGGAAGGAAGCCTTGACAGTCTAGTGATGAGCCATCCTCTTCAATGAGCATGGCCAATGATTAAGCTCACAGTGGGGAAGGACATGTCCCATGTCACCTGGCAGCAAGTGCCAGAGCACAGACTATGGGGTTCAGTGCTCTTAAAGTGCCATGACACAGGGATGAGAGAAGGAAGCTGGAGAAACTGGAGACCGGGCAGGATATGTGGGGCCAGAGAGATTCCCGCAGGGACAGGTTTGGGGTATCAGCCCCTGAAATTAAGGGCTCAGCCTGGGATCTATGAATGGCTGGAAAAGTGCGTGCAGAATTTTATAGCCGAGCACACCGTTCTGGGAAGAGAGGTGACAGCTTTTAATGGATTCTTTGCAGGCACTCAACCCAAGCAAAGGCTGAAAAACCTGGTCCTTGATCAGCGTGCCAGCCCGAGACCTTGTCCCTAGAAGGCACCTAACTCTAGGACCGGCGTGGGTTGGCCTGGTGAGGCAAACACTTCATCTCCAGAGGCCCTGGGGCCTGGCCAAGACCTGAAGGCCTCACACGCTCCCAGGGCCAAGGGTCAAGGCTGCCAGAGTGCACACCCACTCACCAGTCTCTTGAACTCCTCTTCGGTGAAGCCCATGCTCTGTTTGGTCATCTGGTAATCCGTTTCCAGGGTGGACTTGAAGATGAGTGGGTCATCTGTGTTGAGTGAATAGTTTGCCTGGTCCTGTTTGAACCTGGGTGCAGGGGTGAGGGGGAGAGGGAAGAGCCGCCCGTACTCTTACATGAACGGTGCCTGCCGCCAGGAGCCCACAGCCCCCCACGACCTGGAAGAGCTGCTCGCCGTACAGGGGAAGGAAGTTGGGAGAACTCCGCTGACCTGTCCGACAGCACAGAACTAGCATCTCCAGACTTGAGCCCACCCAGGTGGGCCAGAGCCGGGCAAAGGCAGAAGAGGAACAGGCAGAGTGGAGGCCTAGGGAGGCCAAACAAGTAGCACGCCCTCCAGCTACCACCCTCTCCAGCCTTCGCCTTCACTGCCAACGTTCTGGGAGAGTCGTCCGTAACCCCTTCACCCTTAATCCCACTAAGATCGACTTTTCAACCACCCCCCATGGAAAGGGCTCCTGGCACCCCCAGATCCCTGTCTCCTTACACCCAGAGGGCCTTCCCTCGCTCTTCCCTCAGCTTCTGTAGAATTTTACACTGTTGACTGTTCTTAAAACCCTTTTTCTTGATTTCTCGGGCCAGTCTCTTCTGTCCCTTCAGTGTCACTGTCCCGGGTTCTCTCCTCGGCCCTCTCGTACCACCATCTCCTGAGGCTGTCGCTTCAACAATCGAATCTGTGCAGCTGATTCGCACACCTGTCTCCAGCCCACAGGCTGTGTGCCTCCAAGAACCTCCCCTCAGACACTCTGCCGGTACCACGCACTCCCCTGTCCTGAAGCAGACCTCAGGACCTCCTTGTAAGAAGAACATCAGAGCCCAAGATCCTGCCGTTAAGCTTGGCCTGACCGTGGTCGCCCCCTGTTCTTGCCGCCTTATCCTGTGTCAGGAAAGGGTGGTTTTGCCCTCCTGAGGCCTGATGTGGCTCCCAGGGCTCAGTCACAGAACAGCTGGAGGAAGGACCAAGGCCTCTAGTTAGATGCTAGGTTAGGAGCAGGGACCACATGACCCGGAGAGACTCCTCTCCCAGATGCCCAGGAGGCAGGGTCTAGAGTATGGAAGCCCCCCTCCCCCTCAGGGCAACAGGGTGCTCTGCCATGACTGCTCCATGAGAGGGCCCCCCCCAGTTCTGCTATTTAGGACCTGGGCTCCCTCAGTCATGTCATGGCACATCGAGCTTTGCCCTCATCTTACAGATGAGGACAGCAGCACCTGCTTCCCAAGGACTCGAAGAGATTTCCTAGCAAGAGGCCCCGCCTGAGCCAGGACCCAGTCCCTCCACTTCCTTCCCACCCTCGGCTTTCCTGGTATAAAACTGAATGGGCCCCAGGGACCGGGCCTCACCGAACCACTGCATGCTCCGTGTCCGACTTCCAGGCGCCTGTGAGGTGGCTGGACCAGGGGCACACCTGGAAGAGCAGGTGGGTGGCTGGCCCACGTGTCCCCCCCCAAGCCACGCCACCCCCGCACCCCACCTCGTAAGCCCCTTGGGCTGGAGCCACACCGGCCTCCCAGCCGCCGAGTCCCATGACTTCCATCCTGCCACCTCTGCCGGCTGGCGGCTCTGAGGCCCACTGCCCACTCCTGCCGTGATGGCCTGGCTCCTGGCACTCCCGGTGCCCTCCTGGCTTCCCAGCTGTCCTCCCACCGCCTGGCAGCCCACCTCAAAGTGCATGTTCTCCTGCAGCAGCCTGGTGTAAAGGGCCTCGTCCTCCAGCGTGTGGTAGCCGTGGCCCAGCCTCTCCGTCTTGAGCGTGTCCACAGCCTGCAGAGAAGCGGAGTGGAACCCAGGACAGGGTAGGGGGGAAGCGGGTGGAAGGCCCCCACGCCAGCCCAACCTCCTCACCTCTCTCACCACCTCCGCAGAGCCCACCTCCCCTGCGTGCACGGTGCGGTGAATGCCACTCCTCACAGCCTCCTGCAAGGGTGACAGGCAGTCAGGGATGGCCTGGGGGAGGCCCCCGCGGGCCCAGCCCCTGCCACACTTCAGCTCCCCGTTTCGGCAGGCTCAAGCCAGGCCCTTCTTCAGTTAGCTGACCTGCTTCAGGACGGAAGCCGGGGTTTCTGTTTGTGTGATCCTAATTTAAGCCATAGCTGCCATTTACTAGACGGTGACCATGGGTCAGTCACCGTATGAAAGGGCTCAGCCACGTTACCTAATCTCCACAAATACTCTAATACCTATTTTACAAGAGGAGAAACATGCCCAGGAAAGTAACAGGATGGTGATCAGAAAGGAAGAGGGGAGCCAGGCTCTGAGTCAGGGCGGTGAGACTCCAGAGCTCTGGCCCCAGAGCCCACGCTCCAGGCCCGGGGATGGAGTGCGTCATCGTGAGGCTTTGAATGTTCGCTCCGACTCGGTCATCCCAACAGATGGAACAGCAGCCCCAAGAAGGGACAGTCTCACCCAAGGTCACACGGCAAATGACGGGCAGAAACAGGCTCCCACATAGGAGTGTCCACACCGGGTAGGAGCTTCTGCTTATACCAAATTCCCAGTTTCTAGCACCCCCGAGACCCCACCACGGCGCACTGGAGCATGGAGGTGGCCCCAGCCTCCCCTGTCCACGTGACCCCCTCCTTTCTCCTGTGGCTTCCCCGGTGCCAGCCCATCCCTGCCTCCTTCCCCAGGTCCCTACCTCGAAGGCCTTCATGTGTCCCGGGAAGAGGCTGCTTCCCTGGATG